TAATCACAAAACAATATGTAATTATATATTGTGAAATATCTATGTGTTTTCCAATGGTCTTAGGCCACTCCTGTGAAAGGGTCATTCGACCCCCAATAGGGGTCGCGACCCACTGGTTGAGAACCGCTGGTCTAGAGGCTGCTGGTGGCTCCTCTGTAGAATCCTTGCCTTCCGTTCGGCGACCTGTGCACCTCCAGGGCACCCACCTCTGGTCTGCAGGTGGAAAGCCTGCACTGCTGTGCTGCTGAACGGTGCAGTGGAGCTTCCAGGAGAAGGTGCCTCAGAGGAAAGGCCTGGTGATGGATGTCCGGCCCGGAGCCAAAGGAAACCTCAAGAAATCACAAAAGCCCAATCCCCCTGTGTGTGGCTAGTGGGGGGAGCGGGAAGGGGACACCCCTCTGGAGGAAGACCGCATCTGGAGGAAGGAGGCAGCAGCTCTGAACAGAGAGTGCACGGCCTATCAGCGCGTGGGCAAAACCTCATAAACGAAACCCACCAAGCTCATTGGCGTCCAACCAATCCCCGCTCATAGGGACCCCGGGACAGCACAGAACTGCGCCCGTGGGCTCCGGAGGCTCTATCTACGGGAGCAGAAAGCTTCACGCTTCTCCCAAGGAGCGGCTGACAGTTTCGAACTGCCGGCCTTCCAGTTAGCAGCCCAACAGGTACCCTGCCTGCCACCAGGGCTTCTTGGAGTGTCTATGAGGAGGCTTTAAGGAGTTTGTGGAAAAACGGATGAAAAGATGATGGGGGGTTTCCAGGAACATTCTGAAGCCCTCTCGTGCTGCGGTTCCAAGGTTCTGAGAGTGGTTTTAAAGCAAGCAAACAAAATCGCAGAACGTTCTAAGTTTTCATCCAGAAGCAGCGGAAATCCGGACCCTTGGGGGTCTACTTAGAGCAGCCAGAGGCTAGATTTGCTTTTGGATGATGTCTATTGAGCTGTGTTTGCGTGACGGCCAGGTTGCACGTGGTCCTCGGAAGCCAGGAAGCTTGGGACCCATTTTTTCTACAGAGAGGAGCTGTCACTGGGCCGGGGACCTATGAGCAAGGGACACTTCCTAGCCCTTCTTCTTGTCAATGACAGATGCAGGCCAGGTTCTCATTCGTGGAACCTGAGCAGGAGTGATGTGGTCCCGGGCCCTCTGGATGGCGGGTGTTCATCCTCCTCCTTCTTGTCTCCTATACGTCCATCCAGCAGAGCCCGAATGTGCTGGCGGCGAGGGTACCACCTTGCAGATGAGGACTAGCTCTAAAGATGGAGCGCCCTGAAGCTGGCAGAGACCTGGGTGCCTGAATGACCAGGTGGAGCTGCGTCTAGCCCTCTCCTCTCAGACGTCCCCATGAGAAGAAGTAAGTCTAGTTCTTCTCTCGTGACAGCTGCTTCGTCTTCTTTTAAGGGCATTACACTCACGATGAAATATGCCAGCCTGGGCTCTCTTAAAGGAGTCCGAGTGGCATAGTGGTTACAAGTTGGGCTGCTGACTGCAAGGTCAGCAGTTTGACACCAACAGCCCCTCCTCGGGAGAAAGATGAGGCTTTCTGTAGAGAGGTACCTACAGTCTTGGGAACCTACAGGGGCAGTTCTACCATGTCCTGCGGGGGCTCTAGGCGTTGGGAACAGCTCTGTGGCAGTGGAGTTTTAGTTTTTTGCTTTGTTTTGCTTTGGGGGTTCTCATGCAGTGTAAATGGTGAACGAATGCACCCAGGTGTTAATCAAAAGGCCACAGGTTCAAGTCCACCCAGAGGCATCTCAGAAGACAGGCATGGTGTTAAACTTCTGTGAAAGGAGCCAATGAAAGCCGGTGGAGCACAGGGCTGCTCTGACACCTGTGGGGTCGCTGTGAGTCTGAACCGACCATGCTCACACATTGCACTCTGGCCCACCGGGCGGTCCCTGCAGAAAACAGCCCCTCTGCCAGCCCGGATGTGAGGGTCCTGCAGCATAAACGGGCGTGGATTTTAGCCCGACTTCCCCTCTGGAGCCGCACAGGTGACTGCCCATCTGAGTCTCAGCATCCTCACCTGGGAAAGGCCTCCCTCACCCTTGCTTACCAAGGACCCATAGGAGGATGCAGGTGCGAGACCGGCATTGCGCTTGCTGAGCAAGATCTTGGCCTTCACAGCTCCTGCCAGGGCTTCAAACCAGCTCATTTCGGTTCATTAGACCCCCTGATAAAAATTTGCACTCCCACCCCAGATACACTGAACCCGAAAACGCCCCTCCATTTCAGTAGAAGAATCCTCTGGGGAATCTGGTTCAAGCGTAGATCCGGATTCCAGATCACTGCAGGTGGGGCAAAGTCTCAGCAAGGAGTCAACCTGGAATGACCCTTTTGGGGGCTCCGAGCATTTCAAAGCCCTGGTTGTCATTCCCCTCCCCCTGGTCCCAGCAGCCTTTGCTGCAGAGGCCCTGGCAGGCCTCCTACCGGCCCCCACCAAGCCATGACGCAGACTCACGTTTTGCTTTTCAGTGACAGGTTCAGGGAGGCGGAACAGAACAAGCACTGAGAGTTCTGTTCTGAAGAATTCTCTGAAAGCCGATTCCCAAGGCTCCCTTCCCCGGAGCGGGCCCAGTGCTGGCTCTCCTGGGTTCATCCCAGTGTGGTCCCACCCTGAAGGGGAATTTCCCAACAGCCTCGTCTGGCCCTCCCTCCGACCCAGGCAAAGGAGAGATGGTGCCTGGGGAGTGGGATGCGGCAGCGGGAGGGAGGGCCGGGGCCTGAGCACGCGTGTTCTGCTTAGTAACGCTTGACACTCAGGGGTTGTGTAACAGGAATATTAATTCCTGCGGGTGGAGTCAGGCTGATGGGCTGTTGGTGTTGTCTGGCCCAGCTGCCTGCCATGCCCACCACCATCCGATTCGAAGCAGTAGCTTGCCAGGCCTTTATTCGTAGGCACCTCTGGGTGAGTGGGTCAGTCGTCAGGCACAAAACAGTTTTCACCACCCATTTACAGATGAGGGGTCGGGGGGCACAGAGTCCCATGTGGAGGGAGAGAGTGGGGTTGGGGGGCCTTGTGTGAGTTCTTCCTGGGGTGTTGCCGGGGAATGCTGACCTCCGAGTCCACACTAACTAACGGCCCAGGAAGCCCCAGGCTGCCTTGCGGTCCATAAAGGCCCCTGGCGGCCAGATATTGAACAGGGTGGAGGGCTGCCGGGCTCCCAGGAGTCAGAACCCCCAGCCCCCCAGCCCCAGCTCCCCTGCTGCATGCTCTTTCTCGCCAGCACAGAATCATGGCCAGCAGCATCTGATCCCCGCCTCTCAAATGCAAAACCCTCCTCCTCCCCCACATGGGTAGCACAACTGAGAAGCAGCCATGCCAGCTCGTGCCAGCCTGACTCACCCAAGGTGGGCGGGCCGACCACAGCCACCTTGGGGAGCTGGGGGGAGGGTGGCCCAAGATGTGAGGTGACCATACAATAGGTGCTGGGCTAGCATCCATCTCTTCCCTCTGCCCCAGGTGGGGGTGGGGGTGGGGGGCAGTCGGCTCAGCCCATTCTGTTTGCGGACAGCATCTCATGCCCCTCGTCCAATCCTGCCGCCCGGCTCACTGAATGTCTGATGCGGTTTGGGGGCAGCACCCTTTGCTTCTACCCCCCGGACCTCCCCCCCATCCCTGCCCAATCCTATCACCTGGCTCTCGGCACAGGAGGGCACATGAGGGTTGCCCAGTATCTACTGAGAACCCTCTAGAAAGCCGTGCATATATCAAGCACACACAGCTCAGGCCATGCCCTGGCCTCCAGGCTCGACTGTCTGAAGCTGCTTACTAGTGGCACTTGGTGTCCCTGAGCTGTGGGCCCATCCTGAGCATTGGGGACTGCTTACTAGCATCTCTGGCTACTTTCTGCCTGGTGCTGGAGACATCCAACCACATCTCCAGGAATTGTGTGGAATGTGGGCATGGGGCGCCCCAGCAGACTGACCACCATGCAGCCCTTCCTGTGATGTGATGTGATCTGGTCAGCACAGGCCACTTGGGACCCAGCCCCGGCCCCAACACCCCCGAGGGCCTTCCCTCACCTACCTGCACACACATGCTGAGACACGCAGTGTACCCTGCAGTGACAGGGCAGGGCGAGGGTGTTGGGAGGGGCAAGATGGAGCAGGAAGGTCAGCCTTGGGCGGGAGGTAGCCGGCCCGCTGGTGGACATACAGACGGCAGACGAAGTCGTGCACACAGCTTAGAAATAAACCCATTTTAATTGCGAGTATACACGGAGGGGCTGGGTTGGGCAGGACCAGGCCACACCCCAAGGAACCTGGACTGGTTGGGGGGGAGGGTTAGGCTGGTTAGGCTGGGGGTGGGGCAGAAGCAGGGTGGCAGGCGTGGAGGCGAGTTTAGCACTGGGGTGGGGGGTCCAGAGCTGGGGCATGTGTCTGCATGTTCACTTTGAGTGTGCACATAAAGACATGACACAAGCCACATGCTATCTACAGGAGCCCTCACAGGCCCAGCCAGGGAGGGGGCTGGAGAGAAGCCTGAACCTGATGACCCCAGGGGCTGAGGATGCCCGGGAGAGGCATGCCCTGGGGTGGCCAGAACGCACACCCTGGCCAAACTCCTCCACTTGGACATGCTTCGTGAACTAGGGAGCGTGACTTACCCTCTCTGGGCCTTTCCAAGGTGGCCTGGAATACCGAGATGTCTCGAGAGTGAAATACAAAATGTGTCTGTCACCAGTGGAGGGTGAGGGCCTTTGGGGTCAAGGTCAAGCCCCACCCAGCCGGGGCCTCTGCAAACCTAGACTAAAGGCAGTCCACCCGCAGCATCTGTGCTAGACTCTTCCCGGGCTCAGTACCTGAACCTAGCTGCCCCCTCATCCTGCAGACAGTGGTGTGTGCAGAAGTCAGTGGGGGGCGGCACAAAGGGAGAGGCTGGGGGTGGGGGATGGGCCAAGGGCAAGGGCTGGGCCGCAGAGGAGGGCCCTGGGGCACATCACTCACTCCCCATCCCCAGCCTCAGCTTCCTCCTGGGCTAAATGGTCCCCAGGACCTGTGCTTGCCTGAAGGCTCTGTAAACCAGGATGCTCAGCTCAGGGCTGCTGTGTCCAGCTGCAGACAGGACCGGGGCCCTCTCTGGGAGGAGGGAGGAAGGTGTCCCCAGGAGAAGCAGAGGGGCCTGGTGGGGGGCAGGGTGACAGGGTTTTTACAGTACAATGATTTCCATTCTGCCTGACACACCAGGACAGCTGCAGCAAAGAAACACAATCATCAGAGGGTGGGGGTGGGGCTTCCAGGGGCAGGGTGTGTGGTCTGGGACACAGCTGTGACCTGGGACACAGACATGTCTGAAACAGGAGGGTGGCCCGGGACACACATGCGCCCCGGCGGTAGGCATGGGCTTGGAGATGGACGTGGACCAGGAGATGGATGGAAGGTGGCCATCTCCACTCCAAACACAGAGACCGCTGGCTCGACGTCAGGGTGGGCAAGGGGTGATCCTGGGGGCAGCGGGAACAGCCAGCCAGAGGATGGGCATTTCAGGACAGGGGCCTCGGGCAAAGGGGTCTCTCCTAGCCGGGCCCCACCCTCCAGGAGACCTCTATCCCGTGGCCTATGCCGGAGGCCCTGCTGGACGCAGGAGTCCTGGCCCCTCTGCCGTGAGGCTTGATGCTGGCTCAAGAACAGGAACACACCAGCCAGCCCAGGCTCCACCGTCTGCCAGCCTGGCGTCCTGCTCCAAGATCCGCCGGGAGTGGGAGCAGCAGGGAAGCCACGGGAGCCAGGGCTCCCGGAAGGGGCGAGGAGGCCGGAGCACATACAGTGGGTGGCCCTGGCCCCCTCCGGCCCATGCTCAAGGTCCTCGGACACAGCGGCAGGTGGCAGGCGTCTGGGTCTAACTAAGGCAGTGCCCGAGCCGCCCGTCCCAGCGTCCCCACGCCCACTACTGGATGGTGCACTTGTCCCGCTCCCGGGCCTGGCCCTCCCGCAGGACCTTGGCCTTGATGTACTTGAGGTCGCTGTTGACGCTGGGCCGGCGGGCGAAGGGAGAGACCATGCCGTAGGCATCCATCTCCTTGACGCGGCGCATGCAGAAGGGCCGGGGGTGGAAGGCGTCGCCGTGCTGCACAGAGATCTTGCGATGCAGGGCGGGGCTCATCTCGTGGGGCAGCTTGGCCATGCTGAAGAGTACGTAGAACATCTCGTCCACGTTGGTGTTCTTCTTGGCCGACACCTCGAAGTAGGCGCAGTTCTCGTCGCCGGACACCAGCAGCTCGGCCTCGGTGCTGGGCACCTGGCGGCACAGCTCGCCGTGGTCGTTCTTGTTGCCGCAGATGACCATGGGCAGCTCGGCCACCTCCTTGGTCTTGTTCTTCAGGCACGACTTGACCTCCAGGATCTGCTTCTGGAGACGCTTGACCTCGTCGAAGGACTCCCGGCTATCCAGGCTGAAGACCAGGATGAAGACGTCGCCTGCGGGTGGGAGGGGGGACACGAACCCAGAGGAGGTGAGTCACAGGCCTCTCCTGACCTCGCTGCCCTGCCCTGCCCCATTGCTATGGGGCTCTCCATTTTCCAGAGCAGGGGACTGAGGCTTAGAGGGGCGAACCCGCTGGTTTGTGGAAGAGCCTGGCTGCAGCAGGGCTCGTTCCACACCTGCCTCTGCTAGGCTGGAGACCGGAGAGGGATTTCTGGGCTGGCCGGGCTGCGTTAGAAGAAGCCCTGCTCACGTCCCCCTAGAGTCGGCTGTGACCCCAGAGGACACAGAGGGTTTCTGAGGCTGCCCATCTCTCCGGGAGCTGAGAAACAACTCACCTCTCTCCTAGAGAGCTGGTGGGTTTGACCCACTGACCTTGGGGTTTGCAGCCCAGCATGTAACCCCCACACGCCCAAGGCCCTGCGAGAATAGTCCCTGTCATTTCCATGCAAATCGGGGGTAGGGGGGGTGTCTTCTTTCGTGCATGTCTCCCAGGTCTGGGACTGTGCGCACACATCGTGGGGTCTCAGGGCAACTTCCCTCGACCTCCGTGTCCCCATGGGGCTCTAGGTGACAGCTGGCTGGTGGGGTGATGTGGGAGTTACACAAGACATGGACTGGAGAGGATCTGGGAACAGCAGGTAGCACCTGCTCGGGTATTGCCAGCGATGAAGGTCAAGGTCAGTGCTGGATCTTGGGTATCGTACCTGCTGTCCCCACTGACTGCACCCAAACCTCTGGGCGATTGGCATGACTGCCTCCATGCGACAGATGAACAAACTGAGGCTGTGAAGGGCCAGCAAGGTGTCCAATGCAGTGAGGTCACGGTTTGGACTGGATTCTACCCTCCCCTAGCCCGTGCCTGAGGCTTCTCGAATAGACTATGGGATGAGTCTACCTCCCAGGTCTACGTTCCTGCTACTGTCAGCTCACTCGGTTGCCCAAGCAAGGGGTTAAAATCTAAAGGAAGGTCCGGTACGGAGGTGGCAACAGTGGGGCTGGGGGTGTGGACACAAGAACAGAGGGCTCAGGGCTAGATCCTATTGCAATGCTCACAACTTGCTCCTCGAAGGCCCATTCGTCGGATGAGGAAAACCAAGGCTCAGGGGAAGGCAGTCAACCACAGGCGCAAGCTCTCGGGGGTTGGGGGGGAGGGCGCGGAACCAAGCAATTCCAACATCTCACAAAATGGGCTGCCTCCCTCCTCTGGGCCCCCAGGGGCTGCCCTGTGTCCCCATATCAACACATGCCACGCTCGGATCCCCATTCCGAGCAGTGTCCAGAAGCAGGGGCAGACTCAGCCCCCCATCCCGGGGCCCAGCACATGGTGGGCGTGCAGCCGTGCTGGGTGAATGGGCGGGACGGAGTGGCATGAATTACAGCACGGGCTGTTTTGAGAGGTGTCTGCCAGGCAACATCAGCCTGGCAACCGTTCCGCTGCGGCTGCCAAGGCCTGTCCCGTCAGGCTAATCCCGGGCCCCGGAGGACTCAGCCCCCTCGACATAATTCAAATGCAAGACCGGCCCCGGCTCTGGCTGGCAGCTGGGCGGAGAGCTGGCAGCAGAATTAATGGCTTTCAGAATTGCCCGCGCACACATGAGCACCAGGTTGGGAGGGGAGGCATGGGTAGATGCGTGAGGACAGCCAGAGGCAGAGCCAGGTGCTCAGCATGGGAGGTGTACCTATGGCAGACAGACCGACAGGACGTGGGGAAGAACGCCACGGTGGGCACGGGCCATCTGTGGAACTAACAGAGGGGCCGGCCACCTCTGGGGCTCTGAGGCCTCGGCCAGTGGGGCTCGAGCCATATCTGTAAGGCTTAAAAGGGGAACGTGGGTTATTTGTAATGACCAACTTAATTCTGAAGATGTGTGCGTGGTCCCTCTCTGCACCTGCTTTCCCCCTCCCTCTGCCATTCGCTGTACCTATCTCAGGGGGTGCGCGTGCCCACCCCCCAACACACACACAAAGAGCAGCCACTCATGTCACACCCACTGTGGGCGGGAAAC